GAAAGATTTACATCACTGAGGGGAAGTGTTTTTTAAAGTCCTGGAGGAGTTGCATCAATGTGGGGTCGTTGGAGTCAGCGTAGGATAAAATAAATTTAAAAAAATTAATACAAATCTATTTTTATACATTTATGATTGTTAGAACACAACATTGATTGAGTAAGGTGGAAGCAATATACATCATGAAGCAAGCAATGAAAGCTAGCTCTTGGGAGTTAAGCAAGAAGAACTATTAAAAGCGATCTTGAAATTTTAACTTGGTCCTTCGTCCAAAACAATGATCGATTTTCTTCCTTCACAAAGTCATACTTTTGGTGTATTTTATCTTATGCGGTGTTAAAGTGTACAATTGTAAAAGAAATTAAAACTATTATAATCTAATTACATTGTAATAATTAATAAATTAAGTGTTTTCCAGAATTAACAAGCTTGAATAAATCATCAAACATTTGAAAGGAATTAAAAATTAAATTATTCTACTTCTTTCATTCATTATATCAACAAAAAGAAAAAAAATAATAATTAGAGAGGCGATTATTAATTTGGATTAAATTGGATTAAGATGACCTAGTTCAAATAGAATTAAGTATGCAAATATGGAAGTTGTTAAACGAGTTGCTAAAATTTGTCTCTATGAAATTATACAAGATTTGAGGATTATTAAAACATATCTGTTCTGCACTTTATTTTGAAAAAAAATGTCAAATTTCAAAAAGAAATTTAAATTCTGTTCCACCATAAATTTTACTTTGATAACATCTATGTAAGAGAGCCAAGTGTGGCTCTTTCGATGGGAAAGTGCGGCTCTCAACCTTACGTCAACCTCTAATCTAGGTGATACGAAAAATTTGATTGAAATCATGTCTACATCATGTTGATCTTGACATTGATTATTATGAAAACAGGTCAAATAAATTACCTAAAATAATTACTAAAATTAGTCTAATTGAGAGTCAACAAGATTCAATGATTATCCAATCACAAATCGAAAACACTAATAAAAAAATCAAATTACAATATATTTCTTTTCATTCCACCAATAAAGAAATTTATTCATAACAAAATTAATTAAAATTAAACTTATTAACACCGATTAAATTGAATTAAGCTAATCATGTTCGAGCGCTTGTGATAATTGCTAAAATTACCTTACGTCCATTATTTAATGGACTCGATTTGAAACTGTAAAATTCTACATCGAGCACAGTTTGTTAAATTAGCATATTATGAAAGATCTTTATTCGATCCTAATTATATTAGCTCGTCGCTTTTAAATTAGTTGTTTAGCACTGTTAGGAATTATCTTTGTTAATCCATAAAACGGTATTCCCAATTTGGTCCCTCCGCAGTTGTCTCTTTGTTCTTTGTCCATCTACGAAGGAAACATTAGCGTAATGCTTCTATTGAATCAATTGTATTACTGCTTTCTCGCTAATTTGATTTTCCAAGCAGATATTCATATTTATTATAATATAAAATTTAAAATACTTTAGAACAGTCTTCAAAGGGAAGAAACAAAGCATTCCACCATACAGCATAGTCCTCGGAGTTGCACGCCGCATACATCGGTGGAAGCGGAGATGTAGATCGAAGTGTTGAGTGCGGGCCCTGACACTAGGTGCATATGTTGCTATTTGGATAAACATTCCTGTGGGGTGGGGTGCTCTCAACTCTGGAAAGAGTCCATGCATCCAGTTATTATGAGGATTTTAAATGTTGATTGACCAGTCACTCTCGAGATAATTATTTTGCATAATCTGTGTTCGATTGCAGTTGATTTTAGGTGCTGTCTAAGCATTCGTAATAACTTGGTCTATTTTTGTTAGCATACAATACAACGAAGTGGTGTAAGGATTTTTAGTAAGCCCTTTAGAAGGGTTGCATAATGGACAATGGACAATGGTCTTAGGATTGTTCATTTATAATAAGAAGCCAGTTTTTGTTGGGTAATTGGGTATAATTTGGGTACATGTCGGACAGTTAAATGCTTGTCCTAACCTCGCAGGTATTTAAATAGAAGATGTTATTTTGCGTTTTAATGATTGGTGGCATGTATTTTTCATTGAGGTTGATCTGCCAGATACATTTTGAGAAGTTTTGAAAGTATTTGCGTCGTCTCTTTGACTGATATCTCTCGCAGTTTTTGTATGTTTTTTGATTTAGTGTAAAACTTTTTTGATCGGTCTCGTTTCCTCTTCCCCTGCTACCACATACCAACTATAGGCTCAGAAAAGCATGATAAATTTAGACAAAGTGTAAATAAAATATCTATTTTACAAAAAGTACTCGGCGCTGTGGAAGAATCAACTGCACTGCATCGCGTTTCGAACTGAACTGTTTATATAATCATAAAACAGTAACAAAGGGCTATTAACTACAATCTTACAGCCCTGTATATTTTTTTCATTTAATTTCATAATTAAACATATTCAATACGAAATAATGTTTAAATTTTAATAATAAAAATCTATGTAAAAAATATATTTTGGGATTTTATTTATTAATTTCCAATAAAAATATTGCAAAGATTACTGAAATAAATAGTGAGTTCACTCGCAAGAAAGTTGGTTTGTTTGGTAACTTTAGTGTTAGTTTAAGGAAGTTAAGCATTTTATTAAAATTTTAGAAAAATATGGGTAAGTAAATTAGAAACAAAACTTATAATAAGTATACTAATTTCACTATTTTAGCGTATATGTCCGAATATTACACAAACGCTAAAGCTCTCGCTCTTGTAGAGGTTGTTGAAAAAGAAAAAACTTACTATGAAATCATCGATTTCAATAAAATCGTTAGCAAGCATGATGTAATTAAGTTAGATATTCGGGTGCTAGCGCCTTTCCAAGATGGACTTGTTCGGTTGGGCGTATTAAAATCTATTTCTAGTGCGTATTTTTCTAGAAATCGTTAATTGAAATCAAATAATAATTTAACTATTTTAGGTGAACTTTCCAGATTGCTTACATACAAAAAATATCTCGAAGATATACTTAAAAATCCCACGTTAAATCATAATACTCCAGGAACTAGCAATTTCGAGACGAATAGCAACGTAAAGTTTGTTAGAAGATTGAGATCAAGTGAGTTTTAATTGTAATTAATTAAAATTAGATAAAATATGCAATTTTGTATACTATATATACTATATAAATTTTATGAAAATTTTTCTTTTTCAGATTCAGCCGTGAAAAATAATTAGACACCCAATTTTTCTGATGATTTATCTAGTCCAGAGAATAATGTAAAATATTAAATTATCGGAATATGGGAAAAATTTTAAGTAAAGTTTAGACATACTTGAATAGTTTTTATATATAAAAATTAAAAGGTCAATGAAAAAATGTTCAAAATTCAATTTTTCTTTGAATATTTCTCACTTGAACTTAAAATAATAGAAACATTTTTTATTTAAAAATATAAGAAAATATAGATACAAAATAATTGATATATTCAATAATTAGCCTAAAATAATTACGTCATCGACAACAAAACAAATCTAAATCAATTATTCAATTATTCAAAATTAAAGCAATAATTTTCCTTTTAAGTATCTTTTGAAATATAAAAATCATTTAATATTCACCGTGAAGTGAATAAATTTGAAAGTATTGAAAAAATATTATATTTTTTATAAGTTCATGTGTCTATGTATTGTTATTAAACTTTTAAATTGTATTTTTTTATTACAATTACCATCTATTTCGGACCGTAAGTCACAGATTTTTACATAGAAAAATCTTAAGTATGTATTGCGTCTTATGGTCCGAAGGTAATAAAATATTTTTTTCTAAAAATTGTCTCACAAATTTAGTCCGAAAAATGCAGTATATTTGAATAAAAAGTAATGAGGAATTAAAATCGGAAAATTGAAATATTAAATGTTTAATAATTAGACTTTTTTTAGAATTAGAATATTTTTCACAAATATATATATGATCTCCAACTAATGTATTATGTATTATAAAAGTACTGTATTATGAAACATATTTCTAGTGTTTTTTTCATATTATTTGCATAAAATGAAAATTTATCTAACAGCAAAATTAATCAGAACTAGTTCTTTTTATTACGAAATAAAGTACACTAATAAAATATTCAGATTTATAAATATATACAAATAAACTTTTCCTTGCCAAACCTAAACTAACCTAACCTAAGCTTACATTAAAACTTAGGGGCGCCATAACAAAAGACACTAGAGCACTCTTTCCTAACGTGGGACCCACGCCCCACAGGGGGGCAATTTGATTGATAAAGGTGGCAATTCGAAAATAGACATGTTTAGAGTTTAACCATATGTCGTATTATGTATATGTTCCATAGGGGCATAAGAATTTTAGAAAGGCTTTGGTGGGGCATGGTTGAAAAAAGGCTGGGAGTGAATGTTTTGGGTACTTAACATTAATTCTAACCTTTAGTTCTACGATTTGTATTAAATCAAAATGTTAGAATTACAGTATCTATTTTTTTTTTGTACGCCAAAACGACAAAATAATATCAAAAAAAATGGAATAATAAATGTTATATCAAAGATTTGAAAAAGGTTCTTAAATGACATTAAAAACGTTTTAATTTTTCTTAGTAAAAATTATCCTGATTTAGGATATAAAAGAAAATTTAGTCTCATATAAGAAAATTTAATTTCACTTTGTATGTAAGTTATGCTTTTCATTTTCTTTAGAAGGAACGCATTCCCATTCTACCTATAGGATATTTACCTCTGAAAAGGAAATTCACTAATTTTGTGAAACGCATCCTATTCGTTAATCGAGGTCTGCGTGTATCGTATTGCAATTTGACATTATGAAATCAAATACTATATACTGTACTATATATAGTATAAAACGTACAATACAGCAGCGTTAAAATAAACAGACATAACATAAATAAATACGAATCACACCAGGATGTGAGTCTGTTGAATTTTCAAGAAAAATAGGGCCAAACACGTAAAGTGAAAACTGTCACGAAGAACGGAATCCGATGGAAAACCCTGAAATCGAATCACCGTGAATCACCACAACATTTCGATCAACCAAAAACGAAAGATGTTTCGTAACAAATAAAAAAGGACACAATTAACATAGCGGTTAGGTAACATCGGATTCTCGTGTTCGTTTTTCGTGTAAGGTGCTAATAGCACTTTCACTTGGAAAACTTTATATGTCACTGGATTTGATTAGCTTCCTATTGTATGTAAAATATTCAATATTGAAGTTGATAGATGTAAGTGTGACCGATATTATTGAAATAAGAGTAATGAATATTCAGAAATCGTCATAGTGATTTGGCAGACGGAATCTGCTCAAGACATGTTTTGATTATAATATACTCTATATGTATATGTGTATCTAAACATATATATATTTATTTTTTTATATACTCTGATACCGTTAGACTGTAGCGAAGGCTAGTTAATCGTACATGAAGAATTATTTATATCATAATTTAAAATGTAGGTTACGAAACGGCCTCTAAACGAGCCGCAATTATTTTCTTCTTCCAACGCAGCCGCACGTATTTAACTAATAAAAAAAACTGATAATTTCGAATTATCCTAAAACCGATTTCCTATTTCCAATAGATCCCAAAAGCATTAAAAAAATCGTTGATTCAATTTTCGTATTGTATTTTCGAACGGTGCGAGTAGGATCTCTCGCTGTGTTTGTTTTCTCGAGTTTTCTCGAGTTTTTCTTGCCCAATAGAGGAAATGTTGTTCTACATGGCACTTTCTCATCAAACATCCATCCATCAATCAGGCTGCAGGCCAAGGAAGATGGAGGAAGAAAAGAATAAAAACAAAATAAAATAAGAAGAGATTGGAGAAAGAAATGTACGTTTGAAGGCGGAATTCCGAGACAATCATTTTGTAATTAAATGGATGCGAGCCCGAAAAATGTATCATTACGTTCGTTTCCGGTCGAGCACGGACTATTAATTAGACCTTTTATTTCTGTTGACCACTTCCTTGGTCGCATCCTCTGCCTTTTATACCTGATCTTCTGCAGGTGTTTTTAGTGTCGTCGTAATTCTAGATGCATTTTTTTTTGTTGGGAATGCGTTAAGTTTGTATCCAATTTCTTTTCGTTATTTAATTCGATGTCATTTACAATGCGACATTGATATATTTCATACATTTATTACAATCAATTTATACAAAAAAAATCACTTTTGATTAACAAGATAGACCACATCCTCTTATTTCTGTATTTATTATATAACTATGAAAAAAGCTAATTCGCATTAAAAAATGAGTACATTAGAAGATTATTTTAAATGTATTAACTATATCCTATATAGCAATGTGCAGAAATAATACGGGTTATATCAATCCGTATTCATTACAGTTTGGTTTGAATGTTTCAAATCGAACAACTTGAACAAAATAAAAATAAATTCTAAAAAAATAATACACAAAATTATTTCTGTATATAAATAATTGTTGTTTTTCTATATACAATCAAGTGCGATTTGTTTTTGCTTTATTTAATTTGGTTTCAACCAATTCTGGATATTGATTCTGATCAGATTTCTCGTACTATACGAGGTATTGCTGTAATACAATTTTATAAAAAATTTATTATTATATGAAATGAATTATTCCACTGAATAGAATATAGCAGATTATATCAATAATTACATAACAATGTATGCACATTTTATCTCGGTTTATAGTTTTAATATTATATTGATTCAAAAACTTCATATATTATAAAATACCTTCGATTTTTTAGTGTGAAATAATACTCATTTCTATAGAGAAATATTGAACTTAAATCAATAATATATTTTCTATTTCGTCCGGTGACCTTTATCAATCTTTCTGGAAACTTTATTACTACGCACTCATAGAACTTCTAGTCCTTAGCAGCAAAATACTGAATCAGAAACAATTTCAGGTCATCATAATTAGAGAAAGTTTTAACATTTAAAGAGTTTTGCAAACTTCGAAATACATGGTAATCTATTGGTAAAAAGTCATGAGGGATGCGACATCACTTCCTAAGCAAGCTCCAAAAATGTTCCACTAGTAATCAAAGATGTGTGATGATTTTCATTGTTTTGGTGAAACACAATTTGCCAATTCTGGCCATTTTTCTTTGATTTCTTTCTCCAGTTTCATTAGTTGTTGATAGTAAACATCTGAATTGATCGTTTTGTTCCTTGGATGCTCAAAATACACGACACTTTTGTGATCCCAAATTGATAGCATGATCTTTTTTATGTATTTCAGCTTAGGTTGTGGTTAGTGCTGATTATCACAATGAATCATAATCGTTTTACCTGTAATTAATTCCTCATCAACAAAGATGACGTTAGTATGGTGATAGTAATTTCCCTACTTCGTAAATATTTTTAAAGACTAAATCTATTGTGAGTAGTTTTTCTAAATAGACGAATATGTTATTATTTGTAAATATTGCTTTTAATTATTGTTAGTTTAAAAATAGTTATTTTCTCAAACTAATTATAAACAAAATGAAAATATTCTCAAACTTATAACAAAAAATAAAACATCATATTTTCTGCAATCAACATTTAGGTTTACCTCGCAGTCCTAGTATAGTAATTTTCACAATACAGTGTAACCTGAAATAACGAGCGTTTCGCAAAATGACACGCATTGCTATATGAGTATAAATTCAGAAATTTTGGAACGGATTAAACTCGTTAAGCGAGGTTCTACTGTATATATGTTCACCATATTTCTTTGTAAGTTATGTTAGATTAAGTGAAGATGGTACAGTATGAAAAGAAATGGGTTAAAAATATTTATTAGGAAGTGCTTCTCTAATCTGGCAATAGACCAAAGCTAAAAATTCTCAATTTAATTTTAGAACTACGGAATACACTGCAACCAGTATGTAGCTATCATCTAGACGTAAAACATTAAACTGTAGACATAATCATATCTCTATCAATGCTGACACGTGTAAATATTATCAATAACAAACTTGACCTCACTTTCTATAAAAAAATATAAATTTAAATAAACTTTCATATAAATCCTTATTGAGAAAATTATACTCACTTCAAAATAATACAAGAAAATGAATCCCATTTATAAAATTCCCTAATTTCAATAATCGTGGAACAAAGTAATGTAAGTCCGGGTTTCATCAACATCCCGCACTGTTTGAAATCAGATTTATCGAACCTTTAAAATAAAATAAAAAGCTTAAAAGAGACTTGTCTATAGAAGAGAAATGCACACAATTTTTAGAATTTATTTGTTTTGAAACCGTACTATAGTGAATCCGCACTGATCGAAGTCGTATTATGCGAGGAAT